TGCCCTTCTCGTTTACTTCAATGGTCTGTGGAAAGACTCACATTTCCCTTCCGAATGGAAGCGGGCAGAGGTTATTCCACTGCTGAAGCCCGGAAAAGACCCTTCCTTTCCTGCCAGCTACAGGCCAATAGCACTGACGAGTTGCTTGGGAAAAACTTTTGAAAGGTTAGTTAATAAACGGCTTGTTTATTTCCTCGAACAACACAACATTTTGGACATAAATCAGTGCGGCTGTCGACCTGGACGTTCCACGACCGACCATTTAGCTCGGCTGGAGGCAGTTGTACGTGAGGCATTCGTAAATAAGCAGCATTGTGTTTCTGTCTTTTTTGACTTGGAAAAGGCTTATGATACAACTTGGAAACATGGCATCCTGCGTGACCTATTTATGTATGGAGTACGTGGCCGATTGCTTCATTGCATAAAAAACTTCCTGTGTGAACGCACTTTCCGTGTCCGGCTAGGCACTACATTATCTGATTCGTATGTTCAAGAAAACGGTGTTCCTCAGGGCGGAGTCCTGAGTGTCACTCTCTTCGCCGTAAAAATTAATTCTCTCTGTCAGGTCATACCTTCTTCCGTGTCGCACTCCCTGTATGTGGATGATATTCAGATTTCTGTTGCATCTTGTAATATGTCTAGCTGTGAAAGGCAGCTGCAGCTAACCATAAATAAAATGACTAAATGGGCAAATGAAAATGGTTTTAAGTTCTCTTCAGAAAAAACAATCTGTGTCCCCTTTTCTCTGCGGCGTGGGCTTCGGTTAGATCCGATTCTCAATTTAAATGGAAATAGCATTGCAGTAAGACCAGAGCATAAGTTCTTAGGAGTCATTTTCGACCGTAAACTTAGCTTTGTACCTCACCTCAAGTGGCTGAAGCAAAAATGTATGCAGACTATGAATATCCTAAAAGTTCTTTCTCACAAGTATTGGGGCTCCGATAAAAGGTGTCTGCTTCGTCTCTATTCCTCTCTCGTACGATCACGTCTTGATTATGGCGCTATTGTGTATGCATCTGCTCGGCCATCTGCATTGAAAATGCTTGATCCCGTGCACCATCTTGGGTTGCGTATAGCAAGTGGCGCTTTTCGAACATCCCCTATCCCAAGCTTGTATGTTGACTCTAATGAAATGTCACTCGAGAAAAGGCGGCAGCTCCTTAGTCTAGTCTATGTTTACAAAGTTTTATCGGATTCTAGTCATCCAGCTCACACTTATATTCGAGAGTCGAGATTTTGGCGTACCTTTGACCACAAGCCAACTGTTGTTCGACCCCTGAGTCTTCGTTTTGAGGACCTTCGTCTCTCTCTCGGCCTGCCTCGTGAAAATGTCTACCTTATAGAAAGTGCATGTCATATTGCCCCTTGGGATATCAAACCTATAACTTGTGATCGGTACTTCACAAAATTTAATAAACATAATACCTCTTCACTCATTTTACAACAGGAATTTCTTGCACTGCAAGAAAAGTACAAGGATTATCATCAATTTTACACTGACGGAACCAAGTCCTCAACGTATGTAGGCTCTGCTGTTCACTCTAATTCGTTTACACATGTGACACGGCTAAATAATGTTGCTAGCGTTTTTACTTCCGAGCTATATGGCGTGCTGTCAGCACTTGACTATATTATCCGGAGCAAAGTAATGAAAGCAGTTCTTTTTGTGGACTCTCGGAGCGTTGTTACTGCAGCGTGCTCACTTAATTCAACCAAGAACAAGCTGACTCAACTTGTACGGGCTAAAGTTCAACTGGGCCTTGGAGATGGGAAGGATATTAGGTTTTGTTGGATTCCGAGCCATGTGGGCATTACAGGCAACGAGGCTGCAGATAGGCTGGCCGCCTCGTCGCGTAACCTCTTACCATCACGCGCACGCATACCATACCAAGACCTAACAAGGCCCATACGGCTTTCACTTTTAAAACTGTGGCAGTCCGAGTGGGATTTGGCCGATAACAACAAACTTCATATCATCAAGCCAAACATCGGTACCTGGGAAAGCTCCTATAACCGGAGCCGTTTCCGTGAGGTTCTTCTGTGCCGGCTAAGGATCGGCCACACCTTCCTAACCCATCGTTACCTACTTGTTGGTGACGAACCACCAGTGTGCGACCACTGTGGAGACACCTTGTCTGTTCTACATGTTTTTCTTTGCCCTGGTCTTCTACAACAACACAAGTTCTTTTTTCCTGAGCTTTTCAAGTATTGTACTCCTTTCCATCCTACTCTGTTCCTAGGAGAACAGCCTCTAATATCAATCGACCGTCTTTTAGCTTTTCTAGAAAATATAGCGATTTTACACAAACTATAGCCGAAATACTTTCTTAGTACATTGTTTCTAGTCAATTTTAGTTTACCTAGTTTGGCGCAGTATGGCCATCGTAGCTCTTGCGCCATAAAACTCGCAAACAACAAACAAACAAACAACAAAACAGGATTTGCCGCATTCTTCTCCCGTCTTTATCCCCCTGTTTTTGATTATGCTGGTGCGGGTCCCTCTAATGTACGATACTGAAAATGCGATAATTAACTCATGAACATAAAAATAAACTTGATAGGAAAACACGCATTTAAATTTCTCGTGGCTCCCCATTTTTGGTACGGAGATGATCGATCGAGGCGTCGCATACTCTCGTGTCTCCCTCTGCATCATCTGTCGGCAGAACATACAACTAGGGGAGCACGGTTATGACGTCGTCTGCGAATGCTGCCGCAAATTGCCCGGCACGGGTTTTTCTTTTTTATTCTTTTAATTAGGAATTCTTCGGCACATATTTTTGACTGCAAGCTTCCGTCACTTAGCCGGACGTCTCTAGTAAATCGCAGCGTGATACTTTGAGCAACCTATTTTACGGGCCATCGAATGTGGGTTTGAAGAGTTAGTGTGCGCGCTGAAGGTCCTTAGTTCATCGATATATACACACAAAAATTGAGGGGGAGGAGAAGTTGAGAGAGTGAGGCGACGTCGGAACACCGAGCACTGGTTGGAATGATTAGTGGGAAGAATAGTGGAGTGATTAGTGTGCAGATTAGGGAATTATTAGTGGGCAAAGCCTTTGTCTTTACTCTCTGCTCAGACGCGTTCGAACGCAAACGCCAAACGTCGGGCACCAAGGTTCGGCATTTGAACGCGTTCGAAGATTCAGTGGTGACAAAGGCAACAAGCGTTGCGTCTACCCACTAGTCACTCCAACCAGAGCTCGGTGTTCCGATGTCCCCGCACGATCTTGTTTCCTTCTCTCCCTCAATTTCTACCCGTATAGGCATGAAGTGACTTTCTCTTGGGGTAGACTCACCTTCACGATTAGTTAGAGCGTAATCAAATCTAGAATAGATAAAAATGCAGTCAAGCATGTTGATTAAGTCTTGATTATGGTTTAGCCATAATAAAGATGGCGATTGCTGGTATGTTGTGCTTTAGTTGCTAAATGATTAGCTGAATGCACTTGTAGCGTAGGCTGCGTTCTGACTTAACGTGATACAAATTGAAAGTAAAACGCTAGGTCATACGACTGATGACGACGTATTATAAATAGCTGTATTTTACGTGTCATCAGTCAAACGACTGATGACAACGCATTATAAATAGCTGTATTTTACTTGCGAGGCAGATGTCATTACACAGCACGATTTCGGGGGCAAAAGAGGCTCTCCCATTTACCAAAATTAAGACTCTACATTTGCACCTCCACAGGTGCACCTCTCAACGTAATAATTGCAATGCCTTTAATATAAATTTAAAAAAATAAACAATTTTACTTCAGAAATATTCGCACCAAAATATTGTTCTTCCGATATCATAAGTATAATTCTGTCAGGTTTTTTTTTTTTGGTTTTTTTTATAATATGTTTAAATGGGATGTATGTCAACTTTTATTATAAAACTGTCAATACAAACCTATTTCACAATTCGTCTTAGAGCGCAGCTCTAAAACGAACAGTCGGCGTAACCGCGCGGCGCATTATGGGACGTTTACCACAATGACGTCACATGGGACGTCACGTTTGACGTCACGAAGGTCACTCGTGAAGGTCACGACGAAGGCTACGACCTTCATGAGGCCTCCACGAGTGACGACACGAGGGACGCTAGGGTCACAAGTGACGTCACAAGGGTCACGAGTGACGTGACGATGGATGAGGAGGGGAGGAGGAGGGCAGGAGAATGAGAGGAGGAGGAAGGAGGAAAATGGAGTAGGTATAAGGCAAGAGAAGGGGGAGATAGAGGAGGAGGGGAGGGAACGAAGGAGGAGGAGGGGCATATCCTAACCCTCCTTTACGTACGCTCCCGTCTTTTTCTCAAGAGCTGCGTTCTGATTCGGCATTAAGGGGAGCTGTAAAGGTCTTTCATTTTTAGTGGAATCATAAGTAATATGCGTCACCTGCAATGTACTAATTCATGAAGTATTATTAACAGTACGAAGGGATTCGCTAGCCGATTACGCAGGGTACCACGGGGCCGCTGCCAGACAACGTCTTAGAGGGAGGTTTTTCTCTTTAATTATTGCCTCCTGTGGTTGCAAGCTGTACTTTGGCTCTTCTCTGATGGGACAGGTGTGCCTGTAGCGTTATCATTTTGAAACAGTCACCATTGACAAAATCAATAGTACAACACTAGCATCGTCATTCATTGATTTGCCGGCCGGAAAGTGGATGCCACAAAAATATTAGAGGCACGAAACTACTCCCTGCAGTCCCTTAGCAATGCTTCCGAGGACGGCAAAAATCTACAGCCAGTGTTTTATTTGGTTGCTGCTAGTTAGGCTTCTGATAGTTAAGCGTATAATTGCCAGGCCGTAAAGAAACGTAAAGTTATAACTTTGTACGAATTTCACGGTGTGTTTCTTTTTTTTTCTGTTTTCGAGTTTTGTACGTATGCATAGCTAGGGCGTTTAAAGGCGCCTGGTACTGCGCTGCAGTGTGACTTATGGTGCGCGTTGTCTATTTCGCTGATCGTTGAAATTGTGTATAATATAAATATTTCGTTTTTCACACAGCCAGTGCAACGGATCTTTCGAACAGGAGATGCCTCCTGACGTCCCACCTAAACCTAGTGAGTTTACCCTTCTTGTTCTACAAAGTACAAGAAACATTCGTAAAAATTAACAGGCATGCATATAAAATAGGCCAACAAAATAGTTACGCTTGTTGTATGACTGAATGCGCATTTTAGATTAAATAGGGTCCTGCCATGAAGTTTCAAAGGAAGTGCGAAGCTGGGTGTTATTTTTGTATTTGAATGTGCAAGTCTGCAAAGGAAAGCACACTGATTTCATTCTTGAGTTCCGTCGATAGTTGCTTTCGATCTGAATGAGCATCGTACCCGCGTGCGGTCGTCTATCACTACTGTTTGAGGCACGTTAAAGACCCCAAACAAGCAGTGGTACTTCACTGATTAATTTTGCATCCACAGCGTCCAACAGTATCGCCATAGCTCAAAGTTAGACCGACCTTTCGCTGTCCAAACACTAATGTCAAATTTGATTTGTTTGTTTTTTGTATACTTTTGAAAAGTTGTGTTTTTTTTAACCCACATACGTTAAAAATAGCTACTTTTATATAGAGTAGGAATGATTCGCATAATTATCATTTTATTTGCATTTTAGACATGCATCTTAAAAACTCCGACATACCGCAACTTTTTTTTTTTGTCATTTGCTGCACGGTTTCAACGCCGCTTAGCGCCCCCGTAGACCGACGTGTTTTTGGCTTTTTCTCGATTAAAATATGATGCACTAATGTTTTGCACATTCTCCCCTTGTTCCCGGAGTAGCTTGAACACCCATTAAGTTAGAAAACGTTACAGAGGCACAGGCTCAAATATCGATACAGGGTCTCTATATTGTGTGCATATTTTTTTATATAAATTGAAATATTTTGTATGTTAGAGAGTATGTTGTTACTCCATCCTTTAAGAAAAAAGTATATGAATCAATTGATTTGTCAAAAAATATTTTCCGAAAATTCGGAGACGCACTCAAAGATACAATTCGTCATTCTCAGTAGTCTTCGGCACAAAATATGCGACCAAAACAGATATGGGAGGTCACATAAAAGACGCGCAGATGTTAAGACCACAGGAGGCTCAGCATAGCAAGACCACAATCCTGACGGTATAAACCGGGACATCGATAAAAGAAGGGAGGCGAGGAAGGAGTAAAACGTTCGCTATCATTCAGTTCAACGTAAGAACACGAAGTTCTCCCAATTAAGAAAATCAAAATCCTTTTTTACCAATATTTATACAACGCGGAAGAAATGTTTCCAACCGAAGCATTCCAAAATAGTAATATAAAAAAATGTTTCGTACACATGTTCATTTGTACAAAATGCATCCCAGAAACCGCTCAAATTTGCTCTCAATGGGAGGTAACATTTTCATTGTATGTTTATTAAAGTTAAGTTTATCGCAAAAAAACATTAATTCGTTTTTTTTTTCTTTTACTCGTTTAGTACTGATTCCGCAACTACGCACGCTTTCGCGAAAACGTGGCATGCGACTTCGTTGAGACAAATTGGCGCGACAGCTATAATGAACCTCTGGAACGGTACCGACAAGCCCAAAGCTGAACTTCGAACAAGACGTGACGTGGTGAAGGTTAGGCTGTAAAATCGAACAAGATAGAATAGAATAGAATATCTTTATTTGTAAGGAAGCATCCCAACTCTCAGTACCGAATCTGAAATTACTTTCAAATCTGGCCTATGCTCGTTACACGATAGAATGCACCTGAGTGAAGAAGCGCTTGCGTAAGCGATCTTCTACTGAGAACATCATACTTGTGGTACTAATCAAGCGCATTAGTAAGCAAAGTAACCAGGAATATTCTTATATATCTATAAATGTTAACTTTCAAAAATCCGTCTAAAGAATACTTTATACCATGTCGTCTCTCCTGCTTTAAATCGTTTCGCTACGAACGCGGTTCATGATATAAAATCAAGAACAGAAGATAAAAAGTAGGGTCATGTTAACTGTGAACGTAAAGCATAGGCACGAAGGATTTTTGTTCTTATCTCCATCACTACGTACGAATTGGGCATCAGTATCTTTAACTTCAACTGATTAGATAAGGTATTTCGCCCAGAGACAGATTATTCTCTGCACTTCCATATTATCAAGCATGAAATAGCGCGATTAGAGATAGCACGAACACGAGACAAAGATATTGATTTAAATAAAAAATTGCAATGTTTCTATGACTTGCATGAACAGCCTTTTGGATAAAAAAACAAAATATTTCGTGATCAAAAAGACCGTTTCAAAATTTTAAAATTATGCGTTGTACACTCGAAGAAATCTGAGGCATCTAAATTCCTGCAAAACGCTTAGGAGAGCCTGTAATCTATTGAAAAGGCGCCGCGAATCATGAGGTTGAAAATATATCTAGACCGCTAGAAAGAAACAGTTCACGCTGTGAACTTGAGCATGGTGAAACGACACACTCAGCGTCACTGCGCAAACTGGTCTCGTAGCTCTAAACATATTTCCGATCTTGTGATTCGCCGCGAGCTTCAATCACAGATCGCAGCGATTGGCCGGCCCACGTGTTCTGCGGGAAGCAAGCGCTCCAGAGTTCCTTGAGAGGAACGCGGGAGGTGTCAAATCCTAAGCACCTACTTACTCCTCCGTAGTCATTAAGAATGCGGGATTAACCGTAGTCATTAAGAATGCGGGATTAACCGACAGGAACACCGAAGGACGATTCACAAAGCAACAGCCGTGAACGTATAATATCCCACACCCTACGAAACTGCGCTGTTATTGATCATAGTTCATTTTGAATTACTAACTAACTTAATAGTAAGCACAACTAACACTCTTCCTTCTTGAACACACCCATTCGTTCTAGTAAAATTTCAGTTTGCGCTCTTCACATCCGACAATATTGTAAGGTGTCTTTTACGCCGCTGTTTCATCAATGTCAAAAAGGTCACTTCTTCACAACACGCTCATCGCGTGTTTTTTTACATTTAACTATTTCAGCACCCGAAGCGCCAGGAACTCCGGGAACGCCGCTGCCCCCTGGACCTCCACCACCACCGTCCCCACCGGGACCTCCGCAACCACCACCCGAGGTGACCACGACGGCCGAACCAGAACTACCGAAACCAAATCCACCACAGCCACCAGTGCCACCAAAGGAGCCATCCAGTACAGAAGGGTCAAATTCCACAACTACCCTGTCACCAGAAACACCAAAGGAGCCATCCAGTACAGAAGGGTCAAATTCCACAACTACCCTGTCACCAGAAACACCAAAGGAGCCATCCAGTACAGAAGGGTCAAATTCCACAACTACCCTGTCACCAGAAACACCAAAGGAGCCATCCAGTACAGAAGGGTCAAATTCCACAACTACCCTGTCACCAGAAACACCAGAAGAGCCATCCAGTACAGAAGGGCCAAATTCCACAACTGCCCTGTCACCAGAAACACCAGAAGAGCCATCCAGTACAGAACGGCCAACTTCCACAACTACCCTGTCACCAGTAACACCAAAGGAGCCATCCAGTACAGAAGGGTCAAATTCCACAACTACCCTGTCACCAGAAACACCAAAGGAGCCATCCAGTACAGAAGGGTCAAATTCCACAACTACCCTGTCACCAGAAACACCAAAGGAGCCATCCAGTACAGAAGGGTCAAATTCCACAACTACCCTGTCACCAGTAACACCAAAGGAGCCATCCAGTACAGAAGGGTCAAATTCCACAACTACCCTGTCACCAGAAACACCAGAGGAGCCATCCAGTACAGAAGGGCCAACTTCCACAACTACCCTGTCACCAGAAACACCAAAGGAGCCATCCAGTACAGAAGGGTCAAATTCCACAACTACACTGTCACCAGTAACACCAAAGGAGCCATCCAGTACAGAAGGGTCAAATTCCACAACTACCCTGTCACCAGAAACACCAAAGGATCCATCCAGTACAGAAGGGTCAAATTCCACAACTACCCTGTCACCAGAAACACCAGAGGAGCCATCCAGTACAGAAGGGCCAAATTCCACAACTACCCTGTCACCAGAAACACCAGAGGAGCCATCCAGTACAGAAGGGCCAACTTCCACAACTACCCTGTCACCAGTAACACCAAAGGAGCCATCCAGTACAGAAGGGTCAAATTCCACAACTACCCTGTCACCAGAAACAGCAAAGGAGCCATCCAGTACAGAAGGGCCAAATTCCACAACTACCCTGTCACCAGAAACACCAGAGGAGCCATCCAGTACAGAAGGGCCAACTTCCACAACTACCCTGTCACCAGTAACACCAAAGGAGCCATCCAGTACAGAAGGGTAAATTCCACAACTACCCTGTCACCAGAAACACCAAAGGAGCCATCCAGTACAGAAGGGTCAAATTCCACAACTACCCTGTCACCAGAAACACCAGAGGAGCCATCCAGTACAGAAGGGCCAACTTCCACAACTACCCTGTCACCAGTAACACCAAAGGAGCCATCCAGTACAGAAGGGTCAAATTCCACAACTACCCTGTCACCAGAAACACCAAAGGAGCCATCCAGTACAGAAGGGTCAAATTCCACAACTACCCTGTCACCAGAAACACCAAAGGAGCCATCCAGTACAGAAGGGTCAAATTCCACAACTACCCTGTCACCAGAAACACCAGAGGAGCCATCCAGTACAGAAGGGTCAAATTCCACAACTACCCTGTCACCAGAAACACCAGAGGAGCCATCCAGTACAGAAGGGCCAACTTCCACAACTACCCTGTCACCAGTAACACCAAAGGAGCCATCCAGTACAGAAGGGTCAAATTCCACAACTACCCTGTCACCAGAAACACCAAAGGAGCCATCCAGTACAGAAGGGCCAAATTCCACAACTACCCTGTCACCAGAAACACCAGAGGAGCCATCCAGTACAGAAGGGCCAACTTCCACAACTACCCTGTCACCAGTAACACCAAAGGAGCCATCCAGTACAGAAGGGTCAAATTCCACAACTACGCTGTCACCAGAAACACCAAAGGAGCCATCCAGTACAGAAGGGTCAAATTCCACAACTACCCTGTCACCAGAAACACCAGAAGAGCCATCCAGTACAGAAGGGCCAAATTCCACAACTGCCCTGTCACCAGAAACACCAGAGGAGCCATCCAGTACAGCACGGCCAACTTCCACAACTACCCTGTCACCAGTAACACCAAAGGAGCCATCCAGTACAGAAGGGTCAAATTCCACAACTACCCTGTCACCAGAAACACCAAAGGAGCCATCCAGTACAGAAGGGTCAAATTCCACAACTACCCTGTCACCAGAAACACCAAAGGAGCCATCCAGTACAGAAGGGTCAAATTCCACAACTACCCTGTCACCAGTAACACCAAAGGAGCCATCCAGTACAGAAGGGTCAAATTCCACAGCTACCCTGTCACCAGAAACACCAAAGGAGCCATCCAGTACAGAAGGGTCAAATTCCACAACTACCCTGTCACCAGAAACACCAAAGGAGCCATCCAGTACAGAAGGGTCAAATTCCACAACTACCCTGTCACCAGTAACACCAAAGGAGCCATCCAGTACAGAAGGGTCAAATTCCACAACTACCCTGTCACCAGAAACACCAAAGGATCCATCCAGTACAGAAGGGTCAAATTCCACAACTACCCTGTCACCAGAAACACCAGAGGAGCCATCCAGTACAGAAGGGCCAAATTCCACAACTACCCTGTCACCAGAAACACCAGAGGAGCCATCCAGTACAGAAGGGCCAACTTCCACAACTACCCTGTCACCAGTAACACCAAAGGAGCCATCCAGTACAGAAGGGTCAAATTCCACAACTACCCTGTCACCAGAAACACCAAAGGAGCCATCCAGTACAGAAGGGCCAAATTCCACAACTACCCTGTCACCAGAAACACCAGAGGAGCCATCCAGTACAGAAGGGCCAACTTCCACAACTACCCTGTCACCAGTAACACCAAAGGAGCCATCCAGTACAGAAGGGTCAAATTCCACAACTACCCTGTCACCAGAAACACCAAGGGAGCCATCCAGTACAGAAGGGTCAAATTCCACAACTACCCTGTCACCAGAAACACCAGAGGAGCCATCCAGTACAGAAGGGCCAACTTCCACAACTACCCTGTCACCAGTAACACCAAAGGAGCCATCCAGTACAGAAGGGTCAAATTCCACAACTACCCTGTCACCAGAAACACCAAAGGAGCCATCCAGTACAGAAGGGTCAAATTCCACAACTACCCTGTCACCAGAAACACCAAAGGAGCCATCCAGTACAGAAGGGTCAAATTCCACAACTACCCTGTCACCAGAAACACCAGAGGAGCCATCCAGTACAGAAGGGTCAAATTCCACAACTACCCTGTCACCAGAAACACCAGAGGAGCCATCCAGTACAGAAGGGCCAACTTCCACAACTACCCTGTCACCAGTAACACCAAAGGAGCCATCTAGTACAGAAGGGTCAAATTCCACAACTCCCCTGTCACCAGAAACACCAAAGGAGCCATCCAGTACAGAAGGGCCAAATTCCACAACTACCCTGTCACCAGAAACACCAGAGGAGCCATCCAGTACAGAAGGGCCAACTTCCACAACTACCCTGTCACCAGTAACACCAAAGGAGCCATCCAGTACAGAAGGGTCAAATTCCACAACTACCCTGTCACCAGTAACACCAAAGGAGCCATCCAGTACAGAAGGGTCAAATTCCACAACTACCCTGTCACCAGAAACACCAGAGGAGCCATCCAGTACAGAAGGGCCAACTTCCACAACTACCCTGTCACCAGAAACACCAAAGGAGCCATCCAGTACAGAAGGGTCAAATTCCACAACTACACTGTCACCAGTAACACCAAAGGAGCCATCCAGTACAGAAGGGTCAAATTCCACAACTACCCTGTCACCAGAAACACCAAAGGATCCATCCAGTACAGAAGGGTCAAATTCCACAACTACCCTGTCACCAGAAACACCAGAGGAGCCATCCAGTACAGAAGGGCCAAATTCCACAACTACCCTGTCACCAGAAACACCAGAGGAGCCATCCAGTACAGAAGGGCCAACTTCCACAACTACCCTGTCACCAGTAACACCAAAGGAGCCATCCAGTACAGAAGGGTCAAATTCCACAACTACCCTGTCACCAGAAACAGCAAAGGAGCCATCCAGTACAGAAGGGCCAAATTCCACAACTACCCTGTCACCAGAAACACCAGAGGAGCCATCCAGTACAGAAGGGCCAACTTCCACAACTACCCTGTCACCAGTAACACCAAAGGAGCCATCCAGTACAGAAGGGTAAATTCCACAACTACCCTGTCACCAGAAACACCAAAGGAGCCATCCAGTACAGAAGGGTCAAATTCCACAACTACCCTGTCACCAGAAACACCAGAGGAGCCATCCAGTACAGAAGGGCCAACTTCCACAACTACCCTGTCACCAGTAACACCAAAGGAGCCATCCAGTACAGAAGGGTCAAATTCCACAACTACCCTGTCACCAGAAACACCAAAGGAGCCATCCAGTACAGAAGGGTCAAATTCCACAACTACCCTGTCACCAGAAACACCAAAGGAGCCATCCAGTACAGAAGGGTCAAATTCCACAACTACCCTGTCACCAGAAACACCAGAGGAGCCATCCAGTACAGAAGGGTCAAATTCCACAACTACCCTGTCACCAGAAACACCAGAGGAGCCATCCAGTACAGAAGGGCCAACTTCCACAACTACCCTGTCACCAGTAACACCAAAGGAGCCATCCAGTACAGAAGGGTCAAATTCCACAACTACCCTGTCACCAGAAACACCAAAGGAGCCATCCAGTACAGAAGGGCCAAATTCCACAACTACCCTGTCACCAGAAACACCAGAGGAGCCATCCAGTACAGAAGGGCCAACTTCCACAACTACCCTGTCACCAGTAACACCAAAGGAGCCATCCAGTACAGAAGGGTCAAATTCCACAACTACGCTGTCACCAGAAACACCAAAGGAGCCATCCAGTACAGAAGGGTCAAATTCCACAACTACCCTGTCACCAGAAACACCAGAAGAGCCATCCAGTACAGATGGGCCAAATTCCACAACTGCCCTGTCACCAGAAACACCAGAGGAGCCATCCAGTACAGCACGGCCAACTTCCACAACTACCCTGTCACCAGTAACACCAAAGGAGCCATCCAGTACAGAAGGGTCAAATTCCACAACTACCCTGTCACCAGAAACACCAAAGGAGCCATCCAGTACAGAAGGGTCAAATTCCACAACTACCCTGTCACCAGAAACACCAAAGGAGCCATCCAGTACAGAAGGGTCAAATTCCACAACTACCCTGTCACCAGTAACACCAAAGGAGCCATCCAGTACAGAAGGGTCAAATTCCACAGCTACCCTGTCACCAGAAACACCAAAGGAGCCATCCAGTACAGAAGGGTCAAATTCCACAACTACCCTGTCACCAGAAACACCAAAGGAGCCATCCAGTACAGAAGGGTCAAATTCCACAACTACCCTGTCACCAGTAACACCAAAGGAGCCATCCAGTACAGAAGGGTCAAATTCCACAACTACCCTGTCACCAGAAACACCAAAGGATCCATCCAGTACAGAAGGGTCAAATTCCACAACTACCCTGTCACCAGAAACACCAGAGGAGCCATCCAGTACAGAAGGGCCAAATTCCACAACTACCCTGTCACCAGAAACACCAGAGGAGCCATCCAGTACAGAAGGGCCAACTTCCACAACTACCCTGTCACCAGTAACACCAAAGGAGCCATCCAGTACAGAAGGGTCAAATTCCACAACTACCCTGTCACCAGAAACACCAAAGGAGCCATCCAGTACAGAAGGGCCAAATTCCACAACTACCCTGTCACCAGAAACACCAGAGGAGCCATCCAGTACAGAAGGGCCAACTTCCACAACTACCCTGTCACCAGTAACACCAAAGGAGCCATCCAGTACAGAAGGGTCAAATTCCACAACTACCCTGTCACCAGAAACACCAAGGGAGCCATCCAGTACAGAAGGGTCAAATTCCACAACTACCCTGTCACCAGAAACACCAGAGGAGCCATCCAGTACAGAAGGGCCAACTTCCACAACTACCCTGTCACCAGTAACACCAAAGGAGCCATCCAGTACAGAAGGGTCAAATTCCACAACTACCCTGTCACCAGAAACACCAAAGGAGCCATCCAGTACAGAAGGGTCAAATTCCACAACTACCCTGTCACCAGAAACACCAAAGGAGCCATCCAGTACAGAAGGGTCAAATTCCACAACTACCCTGTCACCAGAAACACCAGAGGAGCCATCCAGTACAGAAGGGTCAAATTCCACAACTACCCTGTCACCAGAAACACCAGAGGAGCCATCCAGTACAGAAGGGCCAACTTCCACAACTACCCTGTCACCAGTAACACCAAAGGAGCCATCTAGTACAGAAGGGTCAAATTCCACAACTCCCCTGTCACCAGAAACACCAAAGGAGCCATCCAGTACAGAAGGGCCAAATTCCACAACTACCCTGTCACCAGAAACACCAGAGGAGCCATCCAGTACAGAAGGGCCAACTTCCACAACTACCCTGTCACCAGTAACACCAAAGGAGCCATCCAGTACAGAAGGGTCAAATTCCACAACTACCCTGTCACCAGTAACACCAAAGGAGCCATCCAGTACAGAAGGGTCAAATTCCACAACTACCCTGTCACCAGAAACACCAAAGGAGCCATCCAGTACAGAAGGGTCAAATTCCACAACTACCCTGTCACCAGAAACACCAAAGGAGCCATCCAGTACAGAAGGGTCAAATTCCACAACTACCCTGTCACCAGTAACACCAAAGGAGCCATCCAGTACAGAAGGGTCAAATTCCACAACTACCCTGTCACCAGAAACACCAAAGGATCCATCCAGTACAGAAGGGTCAAATTCCACAACTACCCTGTCACCAGAAACACCAGAGGAGCCATCCAGTACAGAAGGGCCAAATTCCACAACTACCCTGTCACCAGAAACACCAGAGGAGCCATCCAGTACAGAAGGGCCAACTTCCACAACTACCCTGTCACCAGTAACACCAAAGGAGCCATCCAGTACAGAAGGGTCAAATTCCACAACTACCCTGTCACCAGAAACACCAAAGGAGCCATCCAGTACAGAAGGGCCAAATTCCACAACTACCCTGTCACCAGAAACACCAGAGGAGCCATCCAGTACAGAAGGGCCAACTTCCACAACTACCCTGTCACCAGTAACACCAAAGGAGCCATCCAGTACAGAAGGGTCAAATTCCACAACTACCCTGTCACCAGAAACACCAAGGGAGCCATCCAGTACAGAAGGGTCAAATTCCACAACTACCCTGTCACCAGAAACACCAGAGGAGCCATCCAGTACAGAAGGGCCAACTTCCACAACTACCCTGTCACCAGTAACACCAAAGGAGCCATCCAGTACAGAAGGGTCAAATTCCACAACTACCCTGTCACCAGAAACACCAAAGGAGCCATCCAGTACAGAAGGGTCAAATTCCACAACTACCCTGTCACCAGAAACACCAAAGGAGCCATCCAGTACAGAAGGGTCAAATTCCACAACTACCCTGTCACCAGAAACACCAGAGGAGCCATCCAGTACAGAAGGGTCAAATTCCACAACTACCCTGTCACCAGAAACACCAGAGGAGCCATCCAGTACAGAAGGGCCAACTTCCACAACTACCCTGTCACCAGTAACACCAAAGGAGCCATCCAGTACAGAAGGGTCAAATTCCACAACTACCCTGTCACCAGAAACACCAAAGGAGCCATCCAGTACAGAAGGGCCAAATTCCACAACTACCCTGTCACCAGAAACACCAGAGGAGCCATCCAGTACAGAAGGGCCAACTTCCACAACTACCCTGTCACCAGTAACACCAAAGGATCCATCCAGTACAGAAGGGTCATATTCCACAACTACCCTGTCACCAGAAACACCAGAGGAGCCATCCAGTACAGAAGGGCCAACTTCCACAACTACCCTGTCACCAGTAACACCAAAAGAGCCATCCAGTACAGAAGGGTCAAATTCCACAACTACCCTGTCACCAGAAACACCAAAGGAGCCATCCAGTACAGAAGGGTCAAATTCCACAACTACCCTGTCACCAGAAACACCAAAGGAGCCATCCAGTACACAAGGGTCAAATTCCACAACTACCCTGTCACCAGTAACACCAAAGGAGCCATCCAGTACAGAAGGGTCAAATTCCACAACTACCCTGTCACCAGAAACACCAGAGGAGCCATCCAGTACAGAAGGGCCAACTTCCACAACTACCCTGTCACCAGTAACACCAAAGGAGCCATCCAGTACAGAAGGGTCAAATTCCACAACTACCCTGTCACCAGAAACACCAAAGGAGCCATCCAGTACAGAAGGGTCAAATTCCACAACTACCCTGTCACCAGAAACACCAAAGGAGCCATCCAGTACAGAATGGTCGAATTCCACAACTACCCTGTCACCAGTAACACCAAAGGAGCCATCCAGTGCAGAAGGGTCAAATTCCACAACTACCCTGTCACCAGAAACACCAAAGGAGCCATCCAGTACAGAAGGGTCAAATTCCACAACTACCCTGTCACCAGAAACACCAAAGGAGCCATCCAGTACAGAAGGGTCAAATTCCACAACTACCCTGTCACCAGAAACACCAAAGGAGCCAACCAGTACAGATGGGTCAAATTCCACAACTACCCTGTCACCAGAAACACCAAAGGAGCCATCCAGTACAGAAGGGTCAAATTCCACAACTACCCTGTCACCAGACACACCAAAGGAGCCATCCAGTACAGAAGGGTCAAATTCCACAACTACCCTGTCACCAGTAACACCAAAGGAGCCATCCAGTACAGAAGGGTCAAATTCCACAACTACCCTGTCACCAGAAACACCAAAGGAGCCATCCAGTACAGAAGGGTCAAATTCCACAACTACCCTGTCACCAGAAACACCAAAGGAGCCATCCAGTACAGAGGGGTCAAATTCCACAACTACCCTGTCACCAGAAACACCAAAGGAGCCATCCAGTACAGAAGGGTCAAATTCCACAACTACCCTGTCACCAGAAACACCAAAGGAGCCATCCAGTACAGAAGGGTCAAATTCCACAACTACCCTGTCACCAGAAACACCAGAGGAGCCATCCAGTACAGAAGGGCCAACTTCCACAACTACCCTGAACCCGGACTATTGCTAATATTGAGTCCCGCTCTAGCCTTGTGCGTTTTAATCGCACGAGTTTCGGTAACACGGGGCTCATACATTCGCGCTTAGTTGTTTTTTCATCAAATATTTTCGTTGCAAACTCGAGCTGCCTACTTTTTTTCTGATGTTTCTACAAATAGTTTCTGGCTTAGGGCATTCAAGCAGGAGAGTTTGCTCACGTTTTCTTAGTTACAAGTCACGCAAAATTTGTGTTTCAAGTATTGAGTGTAAAGGCTCGTTTACAAACTTCCAACCGAGTACGACCGAGAGAGACAGGACCGGTTTTTAAGCCTCTTCCGACCGCGTAGGACCAGATGCGCTGTTGCGGAGCAGGTCCTACTCCTACGCCGTCGCAAGAGGCTTAAAAACCGGTCTTGTCTCTCTCGGTCTCACTCCGTAGCAAGTATGTTAAGGCTACTCCTTGAACTGGTAGCCCCGCCTGATACGAATCACGCATGTCCCCGTGACTCCCGGCGTAACCAGACGTAAGCTAACGCAATCGTAAGTAGGCAGTGCTGTTTAAACCGGCCTTTATTCTGAATCGCCGACATCATGTTCGCGCCAACAGTTTCGCGCAGTGTAGAAATCTTCAAAAAATAACGCGTGAGTGTGGTCTAGCCGGCACGGCATACGTGGTTTAAACAACACCACTTGACTTTTTTTTTCTTCATTTCCCTTTCGTGCTTCTCTTAACTTTTCAGTTCACTTTCAAACCGATTGTGTGTTGTCTAGAATGTTCCTGAAAACGGAGTTTTTTTTATAAAAGAGGTCGTAGCTTGCAGAATACGAGTGGCTTGGTGCTAGGTTTTCGATCTTGTTGCGGACATCGACACTCGCGACACCATTCATTTTATGGTACGTTTTTGTTGTTGTTGTTTTTACACCAAAGTTTTTCTTATTAAACGTTTAGCTTTTCGGATATTCCCCGCTTTTCTTACTCGTCATTCACTACGACATCATGTTAAGAGTGTTCAAGATCACGTAAATTTCTAGTTAAGTATGTTCCTGGTCTGGTTGGTGTATTACATGACCAGTTCAAGTGTAAATAAATGTTTGGTTTTGTGTACTTTCTGTTTTCTTTAGTTCATTAATGTTTGCCCTTTCTCGAATAAAGCTGGTTCAAAGTTAGCGCCTAATCCGTCCCTTGGAATGATGCCATTGGAATGCTGGCCTTACGGTTCCCTCTACTTCAGGTGTTCCAGACCACCTTGCTGTCCACCATGCTGTCAACGGCGCCGAGGGCACTACGAGGAACGACGACTACCATCGACGGATACAGTCTGGAGCCCGAAGCGCTGAACAAGACGAGCACCTACCAGCCAGCCTTCTTCGCGGCGACCATTTCGCCGGGAACGGACGTACACTCGCTTTTGAGCGTGCAACCATGGTCATCGATAAGAGGCGCGGGACCGCTTGACTGGCTTCCACCAAACCGTCATTCGAGGCACGACACCGCCATTGGAATGCTGGCCTTACGGTTCCCTCTACTTCAGGTGTTCCAGACCACCTTGCTGTCCACCATGCTGTCAACGGCGCCGAGGGCACTACGAGGAACGACGACTACCATCGACGGATACAGTCTGGAGCCCGAAGCGCTGAACAAGACGAGCACCTACCAGCCAGCCTTCTTCGCGGCGACCATTTCGCCGGGAACGGACGTACACTCGCTTTTGAGCGTGCAACCATGGTCATCGATAAGAGGCGCGGGACCGCTTGACTGGCTTCCACCAAACCGTCATTCGAGGCACGACACCGCCATTGGAATGCTGGCCTTACGGTTCCCTCTACTTCAGGTTGGTCCATCACACCTTGAATGTTACAAAGACGATAACCCATTTTTGATTGCGGTGTCGTGCCCGACCCAAGCGTACACATTCATTGTTTCTGTCCATTGCTTTGTAACTCAGAAGATTAGAGCTCTACAGCTACTCCTTTCCGGTGACATCGAGGAAAATCCTGGACCAATGTCAAAAGAACAAGAAAAGCAACTAAATCTTGTAGTGTCCAGTGTTCAAGGCCTCGAAAAAGGTCAGGCTGAAGTGCTTGTCACTCTGAGACAACTTCGAGAAGACCTAAACAAAAGTGACGCTATTGTTGCATCATTATCAGCTAGGGTGGCAGCCCTTGAGACGCACCAGACTGTCATACCGGATGTAAAAGAAGAAATCACCGCAGCTACTCAAGCACTGTCAAACGTCAGGCGTGAGTTGACTGTTCTGGGGACGCGTTGCGAGGATAGCGAGAACAGACAGCGGCGCTCAAACTTGCTTTTTTATGGATCATCAGACAAAGAGGGGGAGACCTGGGCTGAGTCAGAAAAGCTTGTTCTCGATATCTGCTCTGCGCACCTTGGTTTACCATTAGAACCTGGCATCATTGAACGCGCCCACAGGATTGGTCGTTTCGGCCCGAATAAAAAACGCCCTATCATTGTGAAGTTTTGCTCAACAAAGCAAAAGGACCTAATACTAGGGAAAGCTTACAAGTTCAAGGGTACCACGTTTTCTGTAGGCGAAGACTTTTCCCCTGCCGTGCGTGAAGCTCGTCGAGAACTCCTACAGTTTGCCAGGCCCCAAAATAAACCGTTTAAACTAAAATTTAACAAACTTTCGATCGGAGCGCAGATTTTTGTTTATGACCCTGAAAGCAAGAGGGTTGTGGAAGACAAGCATCCATACCATCTGTGTGATCGAGACTCACCCCAGTGCCCCCAGATTAAAAAAAAAAGTTCTTTTTCTGTACTTTACACTAACATAAGAAGTATACTGCCAAAGCGTGAAGACCTTCATTTATTAACTGACTCTTGTGCTGCCGACTTTGTTTTCCTAACGGAAACATGGCTAAGACCTGACATAAAAGACTCTGAAGTGTTTCCCACGAATTTTAATTACAATATTTATAGGTGTGATAGAGACTTCCGACGTGGGGGTGGAGTACTAATTGCTGTACGGAATCATATTGTAGTTTCTTTTGTTCAAATTCCTACTTGCCTTGAAATGGTATGGCTACGGCTGCATTCCCCCTCCGCGTGTATCTTCCTTGGGGTGTGCTATAGACCGCCCGACTTTGTTAATGGTTTTTTTGATAAGCTTCATGACGCGCTCTCTTTCATCTTCAACCAATCCCGAAACGCATCATGCATTCTCTTAGGCGACTTCAATTGTCCTGACATCATTTGGGATACTCTTTCGTTCTCGACTCATATTTCAGGAGAACTCGTAGACACATGTCTTACATTTAATCTATCGCAGCTGATTACTCAACCTACCAGATCAACCCAAAGAACAAGTCATATTTTAGATCTATGCCTCACTACTGACACTACACTTGTTAAAAATATAACATACCACCCACCCATTAGTGACCACAACGTAATTCATTTCAACATTGAATTTGAAACTCAGCGGAAATCACCATATTTTAAAACCATTAAAGACTATAATAAAGCTAATTACTCCGCAATTAACAATGAGCTTGAAATATTTTTCGATAGTTTTCAGCATGGCTGTATGAGCAGGACAGTTGATGAAAACTGGATTCTCTTCAGAAATAAACTTGCATACCTTGCCGACACTTACATACCATCAATAAACCTAACTTGTGACAAATCAAATCCCTGGTTCACAAAAACGCTTAACCAACTAAACAGAAAAAAGAAAAGACTATTTAGCCGTGCCAAACAACTGACTACCGATCTCGCTTGGGAACAGTACAATGACATTGCTAAAATTTATAAGAAATCTATTACAGAGGCGAAGGCAAAATTCTTTAACAATGACTTAGTAAACATTCTTCGCAATAAACCTAAAAAGTTCTGGGAGGTAATTAATCCAAAAACGTCTAGACCTGTACAACTAATGAGCGATGATCGGTTGCCATTATCGGATGAAGAAAGCGCCAACTGTCTTAACGACTATTTCACCTCAGTCTTCACCACAGATGACCACAGTAGCATGCCTCATCTTAACAACGCCTATCACACTCCCATGGCTGCCATTGGTATAACGTATGCAGGTATCATAAGCTCTATAGAAAGGTTACAGTTGTCGTCGAGTTCTGGGGACGACAAAATTAATTCCAAATTACTGAAAAACACTAAACTACACTCAGCTCGTTTTTTGTTAATAATCTTCCAACAATCTTTGTCTTCCGGCGAGCTTCCTACAGATTGGAAAATTGGCAGAGTGGTCCCCATACACAAATCGGGGGATCGAACTTCACCATCAAATTATCGTCCTATATCTCTAACCAGTGTCCCCTGCAAGCTACTTGAGCACATAATATATTCAAATGTCATGAAGCATTTCGAAAATGACCTCATCCTCTTTCCAAACCAACACGGGTTCAGACAATCATATTCTTGCGAAACGCAACTTGTACAACTTGTTCATGAAATACACAGTAACATCGATAATAACATACAGACAGACGCCATATTCATTGATTTTTCTAAAGCATTCGATAAGGTATCCCACAGTTTACTCATGCTCAAGATAAACCAACTTCACATTCATCCACTCGTAACATCATGGATAGGACAATTTTTAACCAATCGTACTCAGCATACTGTTATTAACAACCAGTCGTCAGCTTATTCTCCTGTGTCATCCGGAGTCCCCCAGGGGAGTGTTCTCGGACCTCTGCTTTTTTTAACATTTGTAAATGACCTACCAGATCGCATAACATCCTGTATTCGACTTTTTGCTGATGACTGCGTAATTTACCGATCTGTATCTAACCTGAACGATAACATAACCCTACAAGCTGACCTTAACCTAATAGCCGACTGGTGTAAACAGTGGAAAATGACAATTAACTTTTCTAAAACAAATCTCGTTTCCTTCACGCGTGCTCATAGTCCTCTCTCTTTCACTTACACCATGTGCAGCCAGGTAATTACCAAGTGTCCATCTTACAAATATCTGGGTGTTCACTTATCTGACGATCTCTCATGGAACACGCATATAACACACGTCCTGTCTAATGCTAACC